GTTCCGGCTCCTTGGGGATGAGCCTCCTTGTCTGCAGCGCCGACAGTTGCGCCATGGAGGCCTGCGGGAGGTCGTGGGCCTTCGCCTTCAGCACCTGAGCCCAAGCCCGCCGCCCCGAGCGCCACCACGAGGAGGGGGGTTCGATCGGTCGATCGATTGATCATCGGCATGGGCGTCTGGCCGTGCTCGTGTTCACAAGGGGCGGGCTGGGTGGCGCCCGTACCATTCGCGCCACCAGCCTTTTACGTTGCAGCGCTGGAACTTCTAACTTTTTCCCCAAAACACCTCGCCCTCAAGAACTGTATATCACCACAGCGAAGCTGGCCCACAGCGCGAGACGGAGAAAAGCAGGACGGCCGCCGAACCGCGATGTCGACGAGCCAATGCGTGATAGACGAGCTGTGAACGGCAAGAAGGCATGGTAGGTAAATGTGACGAGCCTCCCTAAGCAAGGCCTGAGGCCAAGATTGCACAAGAGACACATGTGAGGCCAGAGGAGGACGAGGAGGCGAAGAGGCGAAGCCATGCGAAACATCGTGGGTGCGGAGGCCTTGAAAATGCGGCGCGTGCAACAGGGCCCACGTAAACCAAGCCGAGCGGGAGGGATAACGGCGGGAGGTAGGCGAAAGGAGGAGAAAAATGAGACGACCGCTGGAGCTCCTGAAAGAGAGCGCCGTGGCAGTCTAAGCGGTCGCCGCGCCCTGGGCGGCCGAACGACTAGAATGCCCAACTGGAACTCCCAAACGAGACGAGGCGGGGGGGGGGAGGGGGGAAGAGAGGCGGAAGGAAACTAACGAGCGGCGTCTTTGAGCGAGTTCGGATTCCGGGGCGCTGGTTTCGGGGCCCAGGGCCACCCAGAAACGGTTGGGTTCTCACCCCGGCCCTCCTCATCGTTTCCCAATCAGTGCTTGCACTGAAGGAATCCTCGCGGAAGTTGAGAGATTTGGCGGAAGTGTCCCTCCGATTTTGGTCGCACGCTGGATTCCCGGGTTCCCGGTTCTGGGTTCCCGGAGAAATTTGGCGAAATTTCCGGCCGATTTTGGTAGCCGGCTGGGTGCATAGGTTCCCGGGTCCGGGTTCCTGGGTTCCTGGTTATTGGTACCGGGCCGATTTCGGTGGGTTCCGAGTTCCCGGGTTCCCGGGGTCCCAGTCGATCTCCTCATCGATATTCCTATCGATCCCTTTGCAAACCATCCACTGATTGGGGGTTTTCTCTGGCGCAACATAACAATGGTCGTGTTCTCGCCCCAGTCCTGCATCCTCCATGCTCTCGCCCTAGTCCTGCATCCTCCTGAGGCAGAGCCATGCGGCAGGCTGCCGTCGCGATGGCGCTGGCGCTGGTTTATGACGAATTAACGCCGATGTCCTATATCGGAGGTCGTTCAATGCTGGCCGAGCTCAGGCAGCACGTGAGGCTCTTGATCGCCCGCGCTGGCCCCGCCGACGCGTCAAGACATAGCCCCACCGCAGGCTGCTGCCTCTTCCAGCGTCCAGAGTCCCGTTGGCGTCCACGGCGACAACACAAGCGAAAGCCGATCAGACTGGCAGGGAACACAACCGAGCCCGACCGAAACGGACAGGCAGCAAGCAGCCTAGCAAGGGCGCGGCGAGCCGCGGTGCGAGAGCCGACCGAGCCACGCCGACCGAGCACGGCCCACTGCGACGCAGCCGAGCCGACCGAACCGCCGACACCCAGCCTTCCATGGGCCCCATGCCTCCAGGAAAAAAACACAATCATCAAACACAATCATAAAAGCAGCATTCATAAAACACAGCAAGAATCACAAAATCAGCAAGAATGAAAAAAGTAAGGATCAAGCGAAGCAATAATCAAACAGTAAAGGAGGAATAACCCCACAGGCAAGACTCAAACATCGAAGAACAAGCCTCCCAAAGAAGCAACAATCAAACACGACGGGCCTTTACGGCAGGTTCATGTCGTGCCGACTTCGTTGGTTTCTGACACCACGGGGATCGTTCGACCTTGAACGATCGGCCGTGTCCGAAACGTCGTATCGTTCAGCATCGACCAATGCTGGGGCTCTGGCGACGTTCAAGGTTGAACGCCAGCGGCGGGGTCGCCGCTGATCAACACGACGCGAACCTACCGTACGTGGGCTCGGGGGCCACCACAGCCCTCGTGCCCTTCGGGCAGGTCCCAGGCGTGAAGCCACTGCCTCACGAGAAGGGCCCCGAGATCCTCAGTTGCTTCACGACGGGCCTTGACGTGGGCCCGGGGGGCCACCACAGCCCTCGTGCCCTGTGGGCAGGTCCCAGGCGTGAAGACACTGCCTCACAAGAAAGGCCCCGAGATCCTCACCTGCTTGACGGCGAGCGCTGACGTGGGCCTGGGGTCCCATCACAGATCCGCCCGGCTCGGCAAGTGCAGCAGAAGATAGCCAGCTCCGCGATGCTGCATCTGTTCGGTGTGGGTCGGGGGGGATGAGGCAGCATCGGTGCTGCGTGCTGAATGTACTCTGGTCACGGGTCGTTACTGATTATCCTCCTCCTCCGCCTCCTCCTCCTTGTCCTACTCCTCTTCCTCCTCCTACTCCCCCTCCTCCCCCTCCACCTCGAACTCGTCCTCTTCCTCCTCCTCGACCTCGTCGTCGTCGTTCTCCTCCTTCTGCTCCTCCTCCTCTTTATCCTCCACTTCACACCATCAACAACAACAACAGTATTAACAAAAGAGCAACAAGCATACGATCAACAACAACACAAACCTCATCGTCATCACCACCACCACCACCATCATCATCACAACCAGCAGCAACAGCATCATCACCATCATCGTCGCCCACAGCAGCATCATCATCAACATCACTATCAGCAGCAGCATCAACATCAGCATCATCACCACCATCATCATCATAATAATCAGCATCGTCGGCATCATCAGCATCAGCAGCATCATCAGCATCAGCACCAGCATCATCATCAGCATCATCATCACTATCGACATCATCATCACCATCAAAACACTATCATCATCACCATCAGCATCATCACCATCGACAGCATCATCACCATCGGCAGCATCATCACTTCCATCACCACCACCATCAAAACAATACCATCATCCTCATCATCATCACCATCATCATCGTCATGTCTCATGGGAGCAGACGATCTGTATATATATATATATATATATATATATATATATATGTACACATTAACAAACAAACAAAAATGTCGCGGGCCTTTGCGCCACAGCAATGGCGGGGGGGCGGGGCAAGCAGACGGAGGGCGGACAATCCCGGGTTGTTTTCTGGAAGCCCGAGGGGGGGGGCGCGGGCTGACAATTTAGGGCAGGGGGGCGGGGGGTCAATTCAGAGCCGGGAGCGCAAAAGCTGGGAAGGACTTCGCGGGCTGGCGATTCGAATCCGCAGGCGCGGACAATTCGAGACCGCGGGAGTTGCTGTTGGCCAGCCCTGAATGGGAAGTAGCAATTTCTGATCCGCCAGTCCTGCGCGGAAGGCAGACAGTCTGCGCCGCCTTCAGACAGCGACCTCCTTCCCCACCTCCTCATCCTATTCGCCTCCCCCTCCTCCTCCTCCTCCTCGTTCTCCTCATCTTCCTCCTCCTTCCCCTCGCTCTTCTATCCCAGGTCACCTCCCCCCTGCTATGTTTTGCTCCTCTACAGTTGTTCAATGTGAAGACTCTTCCCCGTTCTCACCTGATGCACTCCAGAAGATTGCCTGCACCTCTCCGCGTGCATTGTGTTTTAATTACACACCAGTTTGGCGCGAATCCGTTTCTCATACTTGTTTTAATCGGAACGTGTCCGGCTATTCCAGCATGTTGTTCCCGCTGTAACGCTGGCCTCAGTTTCGAGATTCCGCTCGTTTCGAAGCATCTTGCGTGCTGTGTTTTTACGCAGAGTATTGGGGGTGTGTGTTGCTCATATCTGTTGCTCAATCCGAACTTGTTCGGTTCTTCCAACACGCTGCTCCCGCGGCAACGTTGACCACATGTTCAAGCTCCAACCGCCGTCCGCGAGGACGACAGCTGGGCCGTCCTCCGGTTGGTTCTTAAGTCGGGGATGCAAAAATTGCATAAACATAAACTTTCGGTGGTCCTCCGTGGATTTCCTGGGTCTGCGCTGGGACTCCCTAGCGGCGCTTCCCGCGCCCCCTCTCCGCAATACTCCTCCCGCGGCCGCGGGTGATCAAACGAACGCAGGAGGACGAATAGAACATCAGTTTCCGCAAGGCGGCAAAATAAAATGCCAGGGGGGCAGACGATTAAAAAACAGTTTCCGGCGGCTGGATTCCATGAGTCTGCCCCGCTCATTCAATTTGGCCCCCCTGGGACGGCAGGGGGAGGGGGCATTTTCTGAATCGCTTGCCCCCGTTATCCTCCTCGTGGCACGTGCCGCTCGCGGCGGTCGTGGTGGCCGCGAGCAAGGCGGGCCCCGAGCGGGCGAACTCTGGAGCAGCCTCTGCCGAGCCCTGGCGTGAAACAACTATGTCACATGTCCCATCGTCTTCCTCGTCCTCAGCCCATTCCTCTTGTCAATCCTCTTCCGTCTCCTCCTCCTCCTCCTCCTCCTCCTCCTCCTCCTCCTTTTCCTCCTCATTCTCCTCCTCCTCCTCTTTTTCCTCCTCAGTATCCTCCTCCTCCTCCTGATCCTCCTGCTTCCTCCTCCGTCTCCTGCTCCTCCTGCTTTCTCCTCATCGCTCCTCTTCCTCATCCTCCCTCCTCCTTCTTCCTCTCACTTGGGAGAGCAAGCAACTGTAGCGCACGAACGAAAACTTTCGGAGGTCCGCGAGAGTTGCTTGGGTCAGCGCTGGATCCCCACCACCGGCGCGAGAAGCGCTCCAGGGGCGGCGCTGCCAGGGGTGGACCAGCGCTGGCCCACGGACCTCCGAAAGTCTGTGCTCATTGGTCCTTCTTCGATTCCCCCCGCCTCTCCTTCCTCCTCCGCCTCTGCATTCTCCTTCTCCTACTTCTCCTCCTCCCCACCTCCTCCGCCTCCTGTCATTCTCCTTCTCCCCACCTCCTCATCCTCCTTTTCCTCCTCCTCCTCCGCCGCCTCCACGTCCTCGTCCTCCTCCTCCTCCTCCTCCTCCTCCTCCTCCTCCTCCTCCTCCTCCTTCTCCTCCTGCTCCTCCGCCTCCTCGTCCTCTGGTCCTCTGGTCCTCCTCCTCCTCCTCCTCCTCCTCCTCCGCCTCCTCCTCCTCCTGTCCTTCTCCTCCTGCCCCGTTCGAGGCCGCCGAGCGTCTGCGGGCCTCGATGGCCCGCTTCAGCGCGGAGACCGACTCCGAGTAGTCCTGATGCAGCTCGTCGTAGGCTGCTTTCTCGATGTCGCGGACCTTTGTGGCTGCCTCTGGGCGGACGGGTCGGGGGCTGCCAGGGGTGGTCCTGGCCCCGGGTGTCCCTGGATGTTCGTGCCGTCTTGGGGCCTTCGAGGGGGGGGCCCTGGCCTCGTGAGAGCTGCTCCGGAGGCCATCCGGGATTCTCCGGAGAAGCTGGGGCACCTTGGACCGGGGCCACCTCCGGCAGCACCCGAAAACGGGGATGCGGGAGGATGAAGAGGAGAAGGAGGAGGCGGTCGTCATTCTCCTGCCCCCTCATCAGCAGCATTAGGCGCATGCGCACCATCATCACCACCACCACCATCAACAACATCATCAACGATGTCAGCATAGTAACTTTGCCGTCGTCATCAAAACACCAGCATCACCATGCAGAACGGAATATGCAGCAAAATGCTCATAAGTTTTGACATCTGCAACAGCGCAATGAGCATCATCAGCATAGGCAGCATTGCCAGCAGGAACCGAAATCAACATCACCATCCTCGTCATCGTCGGCATCACCTCCACCTCACCGTCATAATCATGGTCACGCATCACCTGCCCTTGTTCTTCTCCTCCTCCCCTCCCCCTCCTCCTCCTCCGCGACCTCGTCCTCCTCCTCCTCCTCCCTCCTCCTCCTCCTCCTCCTCCTCCTCCTCCTCCTACTACTACTACTACTACTACTAACTACATACGCTACGACTACGACTATCGAACTACTACTAACTACTACTACTACTACTACTACTAACGTACTACTAGCTAACTACCTACTACTAACTCTACTACTACTATTCTACTACTACTATTACACTACTACTACTCCTACTACTCACTAATACTACTACTACTAACTATACGACTACTACTACTACTAACACTACTCCCTACTACTGACTCGACTACTACTACTACTACTACTTACGACTACTACTTCTTTTACTACTACTACTATACCACTACTACTACACTACTACTACTACTACGACTAACTACTACTACTACTTCTACTACCTACTACTAACTACTACTACTAACTATTATTACTACTACTACTACTACTACTATACTACTACATACTAAGCAACTACTACAACTAAACTACTACTACTACTACTACTACTACTACTACTACTTCTACTTCTTACGACTACTACTACTACAACTACTACGACTACTAACTACTACGACTACGATACTACTACTACTACTACTACTACGACTGCGACTACTTCTACTACTACTACTACTACTACTACTACTACTACTATCTACGACTACTACTACACTAACTTACTACTACGAACTACTCCTAACTGCTACTGCTACTGCTAACTACGACTACTACGACGACTAACTACTACTACTAACTACTACTACTAACTACTACTATTACTACTACTACTACTACTACGACCTACTACTACTACTACTACTACGACGTCTACTACTACTACTACTACTACTATAATACTACTACTACTACTATCACGATTACTACTACTACGACTACTACTGCGACTACTACTACTACTACTACTGCTACTACTACTACTACTACTACTACTACTACTACTACTACTACTCCCACTACTACTACTACTACTACTACTACGACAATGACTACGCCTACTACCACGGCGACGACTACGGCCACTACTACTACGACGACGACTACGACTACTACTACGACTACGACGACGACTACTACTACAACTACTACTACGACGACTGCTACTACTACTACTACTACTACGACTGCGACTACTTCTACCACCATTACTACTACTACTACTACTACTACTACTACTACTACTACTACTACTACTACTACTACTACTACTACTACTACTACTACTACTACTACTACTACTACTACTAT